TTTAAATACGTCTTGTGATATTCTTTGAATATGAAAGCCCATGGATATGCTGCAATTTGATGGTTATTTGAACCCATAGTTGACCCATAGTTGGCCTATTCCATCTCGGATATATACATCAAACAGCAATGGCACATTACAAACATATATCCAGCACAACTACACAGCAACGATCTCAAAGCTCTCTTTTGGGTAGTGTTCAAGCCAATTACAATAAGCCAGAAAAACGCGTTTCATCAAATCCATTATTTAGCATACAGGCTACGAGCATGTGCCGGTATACTAAGACGGGAGTCTACAGAAAATAGTACTAGGAGTAAACAATTTTATCTTGGTCCAACATTATTCGGATACTCAGTATCTATTTGATACAAGATACTTGAATCTTTTTCTTCTATTTAAACCCAAAGTTGTTAGTAGAAATTCCAAAGACTTGACTGGTCCTTGCTTTTGCCGCTGAAGAGGGCTGGCACCAACTGCTTCAGGTGGTACATACTATGTAGACAGTGCCCTTGCCTATTGGCTTCATAGAAGCCCGGCGTAATTGCTCTACGTAGATATATAGTGTTTCTGTATAAATTGTAGGTAATTCAATGGTTATGTACAGGGCAATTTCAGTCAAATTCCATAGGTTCAAAGAATAGTTTTCTTTATTTCTAGATCACAGAGTATTTAAAGGCTCAAACAGACAAAGCATCAAGATCAAAACATCTCCATGATATCATACATCATACATGTATACACATCTTGATGCTTATCGGTTGCCTGCCCAACCCCCCAGCGCTTGCCCGGTCGCGGGTGTTTACTTGCCCTGAGCGTCCCGTGATCGCCAGACTAACCTAAATAGGTCTAATGGAACCATGTACTGGCCTCTGATTGGTTAATATTCTTAGATAATTGACCGGGCTGGGACATGGGCTAACCCAGAACGGGTACTTGAGACTCCCCCGTTCCCAGCCTCCCAGCCCCTCCCAATAACTCAAGCTGGAGTAACCTCTTCCTCTTAAGGTCTCGCTCAACTCCATTATTCTCCCTTCTTTCATTCTCCAATTTCTCCAAGTCATTGTCTTCTTAGCTCGAAATTGAAATTCCTAACCCCCTTGCTCCGTCCCTAGTCCTTCCATCTTCTATTTTGGTTCCTTAGGCAACATACCTGGTCTGAGCATCTGTGCGATCGACCAAGCCCAAAGCCTGGTTGATATCAGTCTCCGGTATGTGCATAATTCTTTTGTTCTTCAATCATCTGTTCTACGATAAAGGTGCTGATAAGAAATTAGTGCGAGGACCCGTTTCCCCACGGCTAAACCCCCGTGATCTTATCATAGTGATATTATTATATCAACATCACCAAATAACTACACATCCATCATGTCTCAAAATACCAACTCACAAAGCTCCCTGGGAGCACCTGCAGAGATCGTGCCCTCAACTCCAGTCCGTCGGGCCACTTTGTCCCCGTCGCCAGAGCTCAGCGCAATGGCTAAGCGCCCATCGTCCGAGTCGGATAAGAAGTTCCTCTCACCTCCGCCCTTGTCATCATCAGATATGACCCCTCCACCCTCATCTCAGATCCCAGGGGCCCCACTTCGTTCTCGCTCACACTCGCGCTCCTTGAGCCCTTCGTCGGTGAAACCCACCGATCTGGACAAGTCGTTGTGCGATGCTTACGGCGCCTCTGAGAACTTGCCCACTATGGAAGAAATCGACAACGCCAGCGAAACCCAATTGCGCACTATTGCCAAGGACCTTTTAGCTGTAGCCCGAGAGTCACGCATGTCTGCGTTGCACTTCAAACTGCAGAACAGCTTGGTCTCTTTCGCAAGCAATGAAGCCGTCAAGCGCGCCGAGGTGGAGCACCAGCTAGCCAAGCGCGAAGTTGAGATCCTTCAGAGTGCCGAGTACCGCAGTCGCTCGCACCCTGTGGATCCGGTCACGCCCAAGCAATCCCAGTCTGCCTTGAACTCCGATTATCTCTCGGCTGTTCAGCGCTCGCAAGAATTAGAAGAACTCAATACCGTTCTAGACCGAAGACTCCGAAAGGCGAAGCGTGCCATCGATGAAGCTACCAGTCGGTCTATGGAACTTGAGGAGCAGAACCTCATGCTGAAGCGCCGCATTGGTGACAACCGCAAACACTTTTCCCAAATCTTCAACTACGGCAGCATGTCGCCGGGTACTCAGAATGAGATACACAATCTCTGCCATGGTGAACATGCAGATGGTCTCGCCGCTCTTCTCTACGCCGATAAACTCACCAATCAGACGCACGCTTATGGTACACACTCTGCAACCTCTGTTCCCGTCACCCCGAACCACTCGAAGACCCAGTACCTCACCCCAATTGGGCACCCAAGAAATGATCACTATGATAGTGATAGTACTGTATCACTCTCGGCCTCCGAAGCCGCGGAAGAGGCTATGGGTTCCCCACAGCACATGCGCTCCGCTGTCCCCAAGAGTAGCACGCTACTTCAGACAAAGTTGTTCGGCCAGGTGCAGAAACCCGGTGTGGAGCGATCTCGTCCTGGCAAGCGCAAGGCAAGCAGTGACGTAAACGTTGCCCCCGCGAAGAAGTCCAGGGCTACGAATGGTATTGGCTTGGGGATCAATGCTTGAGTGCATGTCCCGACAAGCTGAAAAACTCGTGCTACCAACTTTGATATGATTCATGACCTAGCGCTGCTTTGCTTGTTACGATTATGGAACCCTCACGAATGATGAAGACATGCCAAATGTGGTGTTTTCAAACTAGCGACTGATTTTTTTTTGGTGATTTTTTTGTATGAAGAGGCCATGCGACAGTGATCCATAGCCCTTCGAATATGGCGTTATTAAATTGGCTGCTCGATGGGAATTTGGGATATAAATTTGGAATGGTACAACCATGTACAATAGGTATAGAATCTTCGAAGACCAAGAACGAATTACAACATTGAAAGCAATATATGAAATCTATAGGACCAATTGAATCCATCCAAAAAAAAAAAAAATCAAGCATGATCGCAGTCAACATTGAACATTGAAACAATTGCATGCTTCCTAAGTTGATATCATAACAAAAGCATAGCAAAAGCATAAAATCCAAAGAATAAAAAAAATAATAAAATAACTCTGGCAGATTACCGAATCCGGTTTGGTTAGGGCTCGCTAAGCGAGGCGGTGTGCCAGTCAGCGGGCGGCCACACGAAAAATGGGAACTTCATTTTCTGCCGTGAAGGAGGATTTGACCAGCAACCCTCGACGACCACCACCCGGCTCGATCCCCATCCGTCACCATGGTGCGTTACCTATCCCTGCTTGGAAGATACAATGAAGGATTCGACTTGTGCGATTGAGAGAAATCGATGGATCGAAATACGCCTCGAAAAGAACGAAAGAAATGGTTGACTGACCGATTGTGTGTGGGATATATAGGCGATCAAGCACAACAACCAGATTCAGAAGAACCGTGAGTGACCCGTCGCTTTACACCTCTATGTGATCGCTTCAAACCGACAGAAGCCATGGAGAAATCGGACTTGAAGAAACAGTGATTAACGAATTCTTGAATAGACTTCCACAAGGACTGGCAGCGTCGTGTCCGTGTGCACTTCGACCAGGTACGACTATCCAACATTCCCCCGCCTAGAGATTTTTTTTTATTCCGAACGATATCGCAAGCGACTTGGAATCGAGGAAAAATTTTCTTTCCAGGATATGAATTTGGTCGACTAACATGAATCGTACAGCCCGGCCGGAAGCACCGTCGTCGTGAGGCCCGCATCGCTAAGGCGGCTGCCGTTGCTCCCCGTCCGGTCGACAAGCTGCGTCCCGTTGTCCGATGCCCCACCATCAAGTACAACCGCCGCGTTCGTGCCGGTCGTGGTTTCACCATTGCTGAGTTGAAGGTAAATTGAGCCGTATCGAAAGTGGAGGCAATATGGAGAAACAACTTACTGACTCGGATTCTTTTTCGCGCTTTCTAGGAAGCTGGTATCCCCAAGAAGCTTGCTCCCACCGTCGGTATCTCAGTTGACCACCGCCGCACCAACTACTCCAAGGAGTCTCTGGTTGCCAACGTCGCCCGTCTCCAGGACTACAAGGCTCGCCTGATCCTCTTCCCCCGCAAGAGCGGTCAGTTCAAGAAGCTCGACTCCTCCGCTGAGGAAGTCAAGGCCGTCAAGGCCACCGTCGCTGAGGGCAAGCGTGACGGCATCGCCACCCGTGTTGAGGCCACCTTCCCCATCACCAACCCCACCGCTGCTGAGGCCGTTACCGAGGTCAAGCGCGACTCGCTCCCCAAGGGCGAGGAGGCTGCTTACCGTCGTCTCCGTGACGCCCGCGCTGAGGCCCGCTACAAGGGTATGCGCGAGAAGCGTGCCAAGACCAAGGCTGATGATGAGGCCGCTGCCAAGAAATAAATGTGTTAATTCCCTTCTCGTGCTGATGATGATGATCGGGTCGGTTTTCGAATCGGGGATTAGTGTACTGTGGCATGGCGTTGCGCCTCTTCCTTGATTCCCTCTCTCCCTCCCCAACTTTACTCCTTTTTGTCTCTAAAAGAAAGAACTCGGAAGATCTCTCGAAATTCAAAACCGCCCAATTCTCTCAATCTAGGCTTTTTGCCTGTACCTCTCAATGCTTTTTGTGGCTGTCCGGCTGGTAGTCCAGGGCTTGAATCTTGGACTTCCAGCGACGACAAGCATTGAAAGCCTTTTGTAGTTCATTTCATTGTATATGTTGTAGCTTCACTATGGATATGTTTGCCCCGAGGACCAGTTAGGTGGGAACGACAGCATGCAATTCCATGTATCTTCTCTATGAACATATACCGGAATACAGTGGCTATGACTACATACCTATATTTTAGCTCGACAGCAAAGTCGTTACTTCACAAGTCACACTTTGGAGGAACGCACTAAAATTTGCAGTCTGAGCTCTGCTAGGGTATCTTCAGAGAACTACGCTAAATAACCACCCCTAACGCCTAATGCTGATAATCACACCGGGATATCAAAATTTCAAGGACCACCGAACAAAGCACCAAGAGCACCTTCAGTCGCCCTTACCACCGCATCAACATGGATACCACCCTCCGCACCCCGCGTAACCAAAGCGCCATCCTGACGTAGCAAAGCATGGAAAAGCTTCTTCGTCTCCTGATCGATTTTCTTATCTACCCCAGGGATCGACACGCTAATCTCAGGCCGCAGTTGAGGCTCTCCGGTCCACTCATCCAGCACCAAAGTATTGGACAAAAGTACTCGGGGGCTGGAATCAGATGATTTAGGTTTGATGACCATGGCACTCCGATCCAAATGCGGGACCAATCGTCGCAGTTCAGAATGTGTGATAACGCCGTGCTTGCTTTCCGGGGTAGTATCCTTTCTGCCCTGCGAGGCCCGAGGGCCATACTTGTGGTCAATGTGTGCCCACAAACGAGCGCGAGTGATTGCAGATTCCCAGTACCGGTTGATACCCCAGCATAAAGTTGCCACGTCGAGTTTCAAGAGAGGGTTCTCTAAGCGGGTATCAATCCATCGGCGCAGAGCTTCGGGGACTTTTCTTTTTTTGCTGTCGCTGCTAGTAGGCACTGACAGGGAAGTCAAAGTCTGGGTCTCCGGGTTTGTCTCGTAGACAACAGTCACGTTGTATAGACTTGCTGGGAATGGAGATGGAGGAGAAAAGGTCAATGTATGTGTTTCTAACAGCTCTCCCCTACGTGACGACCGAGTTGTGCGGGTCTTGAGGGCCAAGGGTGCGAAGGCTGTCAGGTATGGCAGTGATTGAGAGGCTTCTTGCAGGGCAAATGGATTTGTTGGTAGCGACGATAATTCACGTTTTGGGCGAGGGATATTGGCAGAGAACGGGAGTAAAGTGGCGAGGAGGGACGATATTGATTTAGGGGTTGTTTTGGGGACTGGGAGACTTGTAAGATTCGCCTCTTCCGATGTGAGTAAAGACCTAGAGACTGTCAGTAGTTTTCAAGCCAAAGTTACCTTTGGAACTCACAGAAATTTGTCGAGCCCTCTGGTCCCGCTGTTCAAGTCTGGATCGGACTCTATTTTCTTTGTCCATGTTTCCAGTTCTTCAACTTCGTTTCTCAGCCGTCGCAAGTCCGCAGCGCTCTTCTCGCGCGAATTGCGTTTCTCGCGAACAGCCGCGGAAACTCCACCCTGGTCTGAAGCTGTCTCCAAATCCTCCGGTGGAGGAGATTGGAAGTTTACTGCCTTGAGTGGGCTTTCATGCAATGCATTGGCAGTTTGTCGTTTTGCTCGTTTCTCCTGTCGCCTACTAGGACTGCTACTCAACATCCCTCTGGGTCGATCCGGGGCCTTTTCCAGACCTAGTTGTGTTGGCGTGGGGGGAAGATCGGGTTCAAGGGTATCTTCATCCATGAGACTAGAGTCCGGACCCATATCCACATCTGCTTCTCTTGTGGCGCTGCCCAATTCCAATGCCAATTGACGCTCGGGGGTATTCGATTCGGGATTTTTTCGCTGTGGTATTGGGGACCCAAACACAAAATCTCCTGGAAGAATCCTTCTTGAAATCCTGCGCGGGGGTTTCGAGAACGCTTGTACACCACTTGAGCGCCTGTTGGGGGAACTTTCGGGCGCTTCAGATCCTTGAGGTCGAGTGAGAGGACTTGCGGAGGCATTGAGCGAGGGTCGGAGCGCTTTGCGATCGCGTAATCCAAATTTTCGAGGATCTTGTTGTGCGCTGTCTTTGCTTGCTGGTCGTCGGGCAGGAGATCTGCTGATTGCGCGCTCTAATAGATCGGGATGTGATCGTGCGAGACTAGCCCTCGTTGGAGACTGGAAGGAGGGTCTTCTCGACCGATGGGAGTCATTTTGAGGAAGCTCTGGCGCCACAGAAATCCCTGTGGTCTCGCTGATTTTCCGTCTTTTTGCTGGAGAATCCATTGTCGCGTGGGGTGTTCGTCTTGCCCGGCGCGCAGATGATGACCTCGGGAAGATAAACAATTGTCCACTTGTTTGCAGTGTTTGCACTATGACTTAATCTCCCCTCGTTAATGCACGAACATCTAGTCTTTTTCCAACCCCTACCATGGAGTGTCTCTCGGCTGGTACAAGACACTCGTTGCGGAGGTCTGTATCTCAGCTCCGCTCTTTCCCTGGCAAATCATTTCCTCCATTTGCTTCATATCGACAATATGTGCTGGTTCCGACCCCCCGGCGCATGAACGGACATGGCCAATCCGACCAACCCGATGCCGATAACACTCCAGCTTCCCTGGAGGAAATTGCGGACACTCCTCAATCCCACCCTCTGTCGGGATATTATTCATTGATATTGAAATCGGACTCACCGTACGATGGTAGTGCATCGACATCGCGGCCGACGCCCGCTCGGCCCGAGGCCAAATCGACACCGGCATCTACCGTCGCACCGCAATCTCCCCAAGAGAAAATGGCGATCGTATTTGGCACTCGTCTCGCCGGTCCAGGCCGATCCTCACGCTATAATCCTGGTGAAGCTCCTCCGAAGTCAATGTGGAGAACTATAAACGGAGTCCCCATTCCTCCACAACCCGAGGAACCGGACAACTGCTGCATGAGTGGATGTGTACACTGTGTCTGGGATGACTTCCGGGATGAGATGGAAGATTGGGCATCCAGGATTGCAACCGCCAAAGCTAAAGGCGGGCCTGAGAAGGGAACGAAGGACATGCGCTCGGCACCTCGAGCAGAAGTCCGCGCAGCCAGTGGAAGCATGGATGATGATGGTGGTGGCAGCGAAGCAAATTGGACCCCACCGAGTGAAGATAATGACCTGTTTGCCAATGTCCCTGTTGGTATCCGGGAGTTCATGAAAACAGAGAAAAGGTTGCGGGTGAAACATCAAAAGGAAGCTTCAGTGTGAGCTCTTTAGGTTGATGTTCTCTTTCTTTTTATACCCTGTGTTATATTGCATTGGAACAAAACGGGGAACCTATGTCTAGAGCGCGTCAGACATAGTATATGGTATAGAGATTGAGATAGACTGTACATAAAATAAGACCTTCAAATGATGCCACGACATTTTATACCCTGTTCCAAAAGAAAGAATTCAAAACTATTGTAATATGTACATTGATGTAATTAGCGTAATCCTTATAGTATGAATGTTGACCTTTGAGGATCATTGATATTTTGATGATTGCATATCAGTTCGTAGGTCAGTTTGTTGCCAAGCTCGGAGCTAAGGGCGCAGTTTTATTTCGAGCCGTCAATTCCACAACGCAGCTGAATTGTTGATCATAATTTGCTTCTGCCCTTTCCTTTTCCCCCCTCTAAGCCCCTAGGCTATTCCGCTATTCCGCTACTCTGCTACTCCGTGCCATGCGCGCGCCTACCCGGGACCTCCTTCGTTAGAGCCGTGAGCCACCGAGCATAATGGCAACAGGCACCAGTGCCTGTATTCACCTCCGGAACATCAAAAAAGGGTGTCTCTTTGTTCGAAATGAAGCCTGCTCCAATCCGCACTGGGGACTCGTCCAGTCGAGGTTCCCACAATTCTCACGAAACATACATACAATCTGCTCAACTACCAGGCCACTTCGATCCAATCGAAAGCTACACCTACTAGGACCTATCATTGCGGGTAATCGGTCTGCACTCAAAGGACGGTTAATAACGGGTGCTCAGTATTCCACATACCCTCCACCCCTACTTGAGTCGGCTGTCAAGAAAGTCGTTTCCAACACAAGTCCGGCAGATAATCTGCTGAGCCAGCGGCAACAATATATCTCCACTCAGATCGCCACTGTACACCTACCCATCCAACGTGATGTATTGTCTACAATCAAAGATGCAAGAAAGGTGCTTGAGTATGCCAATCGAGACATGCTTTGGGCGGACGGCTCTAGGAAGGTTGAACTGCAATCACGACTTCCTCGCCATGGTCCAAATTTAGCACGAGGAACAGCGAACTGGCTGCGATTCAAGCACAGGCCCGACACCTGCGGCAGTCCAGATTTCCAAGCTTTCAAAAGAAAAAACCTGAATTGCCCGTGAGACTTTTCACGAAGCAAATATTGGGTGCCATTAACAGCCATACATACAGCATTATTGATGGAGAATTTGACTCTGGGAAGACCACACAGGTTCCTCAAATTATCTTGGAAGATGCGATAACTAATTCTACCGCGGTATCTTGTAGGGTGCTCTGTGTTCAGCTAAGTGAATTAGATGCAGTCAAGACGGCAAAAAGAGTGGCCCACGAAAGATCTGAGAAACCGGGTGATACTACCTTCCACAGGGTGCCGCCCGATCACATTGCTTGTCTTCCTTGGGGAACTATCAGGTATTGCTCTAGGCAGGATTTGCTGAGAATATTGAAAGATGGACCCTCGATCCTGGAGCAATTCTCCCACATCATAATTGATGAGGCTCAGACACATGATCTCGATATCAACGTGGGTATGATGCTCTTGAAACGATTTGTTGAACAACGCAAGTCTATCGGTACATCTGTACCAAAGGTCATTCTGATGGACTCATTTACTCATGTCGATGGTCTTTGTTCCTATTTTGGTACCGAAACGGCGGATGGCACACTTTTACCTGCTCATGTGAATATTCCTAGGGACTTCCCCGTGAAGAAATATTATCTCGAAGAAGTAATGGGCAACATCGCCCATTCTTTGACACTGGAGATTATAGAGCCTCTCCTTCATAAAGACAAGCCGACTCAAACCTTCCTGGACAGTCATTTTACATTGTTTGGAAAATCGGAAACCGTAAAAATCAACAGGCTTGGGAAAGAGGTCGTACCTTGCGGGTTGATTTCTGCGACTCTTCTCTCGCTCTTATCTACAACAAAAACAGGCTCCATCCATGTCCTCGTCCCAACGTGTTCACACGCTAAGGCAGTCATAAAGCAGATCAGAGCCTTTGGCCCAAAGCTGGGGGTCGACTTTGCAGATAAGGATCGGTTTAGAATAATTCACTTGCATTCAAAAACGGCAACAGAAGAAAATGCCGAAATTCACCTTGGAATTCCTCCCGGTTGCTGAAGACTTATCATTTCAAGAGAAAGCAACAATTTCACACTTCCAGACGTGAAATACATCGTTGACTCTGGCAAGGCAATGAACAACAGTTCAGCAAAGCAGGGATGGGGTATGGACTAGGTTAGTGAAACTGTCGCCTCGCAGCGGGCAGAGCGTGCAAGCAGATTCCAGGCTGGAGAGTACTACTTTCTTGGTGCTAAAAATTGTTTTGATTCCCTTGCGGTTACTACACCTACAATGGATACGACCTCTCATTCAAATCTCGAGCCAGCCTGTTTGCATGTTAAGCGCGCGACCTCTGGAACGTCCATTTCAATCGCAGAACTTTTCGCGCAAACTTATAAGCCGCCTCGTGAAATCAATGTTCGTGCTGCAGTGGATGATCTGAAGGGATTGCAACTATTAGATGAACAGGAAGAACTCACCACCCTTGGCCACGCTCTCGTCGATTTGATTATGGATCCATGTTTTGGCAAGATGGTTGCTCTGGGAATTATTTTCCAATGTCTGGACCCAATGCTGATCCTTGCGAGCCTTGGCTGGAACGCCAACCTTTTTTCAAACATGCTTTCTTCGCCAGATCCAGATCCAGCCTGGGTGAATCATTCATTCGTTCTGTCAACGAGTCGGGCTACCATGTAGCTATCATCAATACCTTTGGGGCCATTCGACAAAGGTTGCATAAGGGAGGTGAACTTCCGGCATTCGGGGATCCAGTCTCAAACATCTGTCTGTCCAAGGTATACCATACAGCGACCCCGGAAATTAACCGAATTATCAAAAGCTTGATCGCAGCCCAAATCATCCCTGCAGACAAGGCGTTCGGTAAAGGGTCTCTTTTAGTTGCGGCAGCCTGAATACCAATTCCAAAAATGAGGCTCTTATCAAAACACTCTTGCTGCAATGTCTTTCCTTCAGTCTGGCCGTGAAACCATTTGGCTATACGACCATCAAATTCCAATCCGGGGAGATTGCCGAAAGGGATCCCGATTATTCCATGTCCAAAAACTATATCATAGCCTACAACTTCGGATCGGTCCGCGCAAGCATGCCTCATGGTATGATACAAAAGACCCAGGTCAACCCACTGGCCGCCTGTCTCTTGGGAAGCAATGTAGAACAGGAGGAAAATCACGTTATCTTGGATTCGTGGGTGAAAATCAAACCACAAAATGTGGAAAGCAGAGGAAATGAAGTTGCCAAGGACTTGGTTCAAACACACAAAGTCTTCAATGAGGTCAGTAAATACTTGTGGTTATTCAATTGGTGTGCTAACCTTGAGATTCTCGCAGGCCCTTCGCACTGCCTTTAAGATACTTCCTTACCAGGGAATGATAAGCTTCGACTCTTCAGCGGAATGGCTTTCATATATTGACGCTCGCGATCATCTGCTCAAAACCATGCAGAAGACACTGCAAGATATTCTCCATGCACACGATTCGCGGCTCTCTCCCACTGGCCCAGAGCAATAGGAAAGTCATATGAGTTACCACATGGATGCAGAGGACACACATTAGATGGAGAAGACATGTACAACACATACATGGTACCATATTTATAATTATCTTGATAATAATATAATTGTTGATCTGATTAGCCCAGCTTGCTTGAAATACACTTGAAGATTACTCGAGAATATGTCAGATATTACCATCATATGTGAGGTCGGACAATTGTCCAATATGGACATCGTAGACTATGGCTATTTTGATCCCCAAGTGAACACATTTCTAGAGCTTTTATGTTGTTGCATAAAACCAGGTTGTGTTTCATGTGTTTCCGGTGCAGAATTTCATATTTTAATACCTGCATAAAAGCGCTTGCTATACATAGAGCCTGTCGGCGCTACGTACAACGTACATATGTACTAAATACTCCGTACATTAGCTGACGTATCTAACATATTCCCACATGACTTCAACGCTTGATTCTTGTTCAAGATGTCTGAACTATGTCTTGTAAGTATCTAGGTGGATGTCAAGTCGCAGTTCCTCAAACAGGGGAGAAGCCTCTTAGATCAAAATCCCAAGTTATCTATTTGGACCAAAGTCAGGTTGTGGAATCATGCACAGGCGCCCAGGCCCTTTTCAAACAGGGATATGTCCGTGGGCGGGGTCTCAATTCATAGCTCATTATAATGAACGTATTTTGAGGCATTATTCTTTTTATGTCGTAACGGGGAGGGGAACAAGGAGGAGTATAAATATCCTCAAAATGTCGCGTAGTATGTTGAAACTGAATATTTTCAGATCTTACGCCTGATAGCCCTTGATCATGGCTACCATTCCTAGTCTTTTGGCGCTTTCGAGCATTCAAGACTTCCCAAATGCCATTCTCACTTTATTGAAGCTGAGCTTGGCATTGGTATGTGCACATTGTTATGTCGGATTGTTTCAATGAAGTTTGACTAACCAAGGACATACTTCCAAATAGATCCCACTTTACCTTATCGGCCTCCTACTTTATAATGTCTACTTTCACCCTCTGGCCAAGTATCCTGGACCAAAATCCATGGCAGCCACGCGTCTACCTTATATCCGCATGATCCTGTCGGGCCGAATTGTACAAAAGACGAAAGCATTGCATCAACAGTACGGCAACGTAGTTCGAATTGCCCCCGATGAGCTTTCTTTTACAGACGGCGAGGCCTGGAAGGAAATCTATGGCACACGTGTTGGCCATGGCCAGAAGCCCAAAGATTACCGATTCTACACGCCAACCGCTGGAGGAGCTCCTGGAATCATCGAATCCAATGACGCCGACCATTCCCGATTCCGACGTTTGTTGTCGCACGCATTCTCTGATAGCTCACTCCGCGGTCAGGAACCTATAATAAAGGGCTATGTTGATCTTTTGATACAGCGCCTACATGAGAATATCAAGGCTGGCACAGATACTGTCGACATGCTAGCCTGGTACAACTTCACAACGTTTGATATCATTGGAGACCTGGCTTTCGGGGAGCCATTTGGCTGTCTTAAGAATTCGGAATACCACCAATGGGTATCTATCATTATGAGCACGCCCAAGTATGGCGCCTATTCGAATGTGGCTCGGCGCCTCCCGGGATCGAAATACATCATCCCATTCATCACTCCAAAGCATATCACCCAGCAGAGGAATACACACGTAGCCTTGACTAAGGAGAAGGTCCGGGGTCGGATGACCAAGTCTAATGAAAGACCTGATTTCTTCGGCAACATTCTAAAGCACCAAAACACCGAGAGAGGACTCAGCTTCCCAGAAATGATCTCCAATGGCAGTACATTGATCATCGCCGGCTCGGAGACCACTGCTACTTTGCTGTCAGGAGTGACCTATCTGCTACTGAGGAACCCACGTGTGCTAGCAAAGCTCCAAGATGAGATCCGATCAACATTCACAAAGGAAGAAGAGATTACCTTGGAATCCTGCAATAAACTGGAGTATTGTCTGGCCGTCCTCACTGAGGGTCTTCGGGTGTATCCTCCTATTCCAATTGGATTACCTCGCATTGTCGATGCCCAAGGTGATGTAATTGCTAGAAACTGGGTGCCGGGGGGAGTAAGTCCAGAACCAACTTGCTTGCAAAGCTACAAACCACCGCTTACACCTTTTATAGACCATTGTTTCCGTCTCTCAACTAGCTGCCAATCACTCCTCTACCAATTTTACCGATGCAGAGAAGTTTATCCCAGAGCGTCATTTGGACGACCCTCGCTTTGCGAATGACAGTAAAACTGCAATGCAACCGTTCAGTTTCGGTCCTAGGAATTGTATTGGACGCAAGTAAGTTCTGAACTCATCATCCGTACTCGCTATTTGCTCATGTCTTTTTTTTCTTAGTCTGGCATATGTCGAAATGCGTATTATTCTCGCTCGCATGGTCTTCAACTTTGATATGGAATTGGACCAGCCCGAAAAAGACTGGATGGACCAAGAGGTTTTCTTTTTGTGGGACAAGCCAAAACTGATGATTAAATTAAAGCCGAGAGCTCATTTCCAACGACAGCACTGAGACTACGATCCTGTGTTTGTGTGGCTCGCGGTGTTGAATCGTGATATCAGCTTGGGGTTCATAAGCCTTGGGGTTTTTGATGGGAAAACACAGGAGGGGGGCATGACTTGGATAGGCTTGAACGTAGCGTTATAGTGCTGAGATTAAACAAGCAAGCACACTACCATAGCAAGCTATACTAGCAAAAGAATAGCTAGAATATTTCGATTTTTTCTTTCTGCTCTTGTACAACATAGTTTATCTGAATGTCGAACATTCCAGAAAATCGATGTATAGATAGCATAAATTTCCATGGCTATAACTTCTTCTATCTTAATTTATATCAATTAGCACTGAAACATCTCTCACCTGCAATAAGTCCATCTCATTCATCTTTATAGATCGCCGCTTACCGCCTCCGCCCTATCGGCAAAAAAAAAAGGCACTGCAGATCCCAACCGCCAAAGACCGACCCGAATCCGCCAATAACTCGACATTGAGCACAAAGGAACCAAAATGTCGCTCTCTAAAAGCGAGTCCGACGTAATCCTCAACCGGGCCAACGTCGCCCTATCTCGCAGCCAACGGCTCGTAGCCTCATGGCTACCGCAACAAACAGAAGAACTAGCAAACCCCAAGACCGACGAAGAGCTCCAACGAGAAGAAGATGAAATCTTCACCGCAGTACCAGAGACGTAAGTGCTACTCCAGCCTTTCCGGTTTATCTACAATCCAGACATATTCCTTACCACCATCCCCCAATTCCACAAAATATACCCTACAAGATACACCCTACAAGCACTAACCACATCCCCCAACTCAGTCTCGGCGTCGGAGCCCCCCTCCCCCAGAAAGCAGCAGATGGAAGCTGGAACCGCACAGAGCTGGACTCAAACGATAAACTGCGCAAACAACTCCTCGGCAAGAACTACAATCGCGTTATGAAGGCCGCCGCCGAGCAGAAGGCCGCGGCTGCTGCTGCTACGGCCGCGGCTGCGTCTGCTTCGGCCAGTGTGGCGAAAGCCGAAGTCGAAGAGGAGTATGATGAAGAGGATGGTCGGTCGGCTATGCTTGCTAGACAAAAGAATAAGAGGAAAGGTGGGGCTGGGGTGGGTCGCGGTGTGCATCCTGCTGCTGCGGCTGCGGCTGCTGAGGCCGGAGATAAAGGTGGTGAGGAGGGTGAGGGTGAGGGTGCGCCGGCTCCTGCGCGCTCAAAGGGCAGGAAGAAGGCGACGAGTTATCTTGATGAGCTTCTGGCTGAGCGTGCGAAGAAGAGAAAGAAGAGGTGAGGATTTGCGGCTGATAGATTCGATTCTATGTTCCCACGCACATGAGCGTTGCGCGAGCTTTCACTCCGGCTTTTTGGGTGGATTAGGCTTTGATCTTGGTCGCTCTGGATGCGCCGGACACGGCAATCGGGCCGTTGATTCAGGTGCTTGGGGTTGAACCCAGGCCGCCACGGTGGGATTGCCTGCCGGGGTCCGAACTCTGCCAGCGACAAACTACAGCGCAATGTCCCTTGGCTAGACACGACCAAGACTGCATACATACCCAAATGGCAACTCGGCTGAGTGTCATCCTGTGCCATGTGCCACCCCAACAAGATACCCAACCAAAACAGGCTGCAGAGAAAAAAAACATCATTCCAATTGATATAATCAAACTGCAAATATAAAATACAATTCAATTCCAGTCTCTTGCTCTAGGTGCCACAAGGTTCAATGTGTGTGTTGTTTTTTTTGCTCCGCCCAACCCAAGGGTATATATGATATGATGTGTGTAAACGAAGGATGGGGGCCCGGAGAGTAGTGGGCCAGGTGCCGGAATTGGTATCGTTCGCCAGAATTAAATATCCAAAAATAAAAAAGATGAAAAGTGAAGGAGAAGAAATGAGGGGGAAGTGACATCTACAGGCGCAATTAAAAGGTTGAGATCGGAACGGCGGACATTCTTCAGATGTCTGGAGATGAGTACCCTTTGCTCTGGTCAATGGTACATATGCAGGTCAAAAAGAGCGGGAGAAGTAGAAGGGAGTGCCAAAGCTTGTCGGTGGTATAGGGACTTGATGAGAGAAGGAGAATGTAGGAGAATGCAGTGCCACCATTAGTGAAAGGTGGATGCTGGGAATCTTCCAATATTTAGGATTTTATTCCAACCGCTTCCGCTTACGGTCCTCTGCCATCGCCTGCTGATCCTCGTCGGGTCTTTCAGCAGTATCAGCAGGATTGAGCAATGAATGCACATTACTCGCCATACTCGAGCGACGGGTTGCGGGCAACGAAGAGCCTTGAGGGAATCTTGACCCGCCAATTGTCCAGCCGTTGTCGACACCGAGCAGGGACGGTGAAGGTTCGGCAGTGGGTGGGGTGGGGTGGCGGGATTGTTCTTGAAGGCGACGGGGAGCACCCATTTCGTACTGGGCGAGGACATCGCGGACTTGCTGGTCACTAGAGACCGGGGTTCGGTGTCCTGGTGATGAAGGCCAAGGGCCGTTTGGGGGGTTGCCAGGGGGGTAGGGGGAGCCAGCCGAGGGGGTCCAGCCGTGCTGTCGGATGTCCGCAGACGTGTGACGGCGGGCCAGGTTAGGCCCTGGGGATGTTGATACGGAGAGAGGATGAGGCATCGGTTGCTGTGGGGGCGGCGCAACGGGAGGTTGTGGGCGAGCGTATGCTGAGGCAGAATTGGCACCGCCAATCGAGCCGTAGCGGCGAGGGGATACTGAGAGATGGGGAGGGACGGGCGGCCGGATCATGTTGGTGGGTCTAGATGTATGGTCCATCACGGACGGTCGACGGGCATCGTCCTGGGGCATCTGGCGCGGGGACAAAGGTGGACCGGCTTCAGTCATGTTGGCGAAGTAATGATGTTGCCGTGGAGGCATGAGATTCTCGTGAGGGGGTTCGATAGCGCGCATGAATTCGATATGTTTCTCAACTTCTTTCTGCATGCTCGAGACTGGGGAGTGTCAGTGCGTGTCACCATGAGGGAAGCGGCAATATTGACATACCATCGCGATGTAGAGGGCTTTCCCTATCGGGTACAACAGCTTGCAGAAACCGTGAAATAGAATGCGTCCACTAAGATCAGGTTAGCACCGATACACCCCGAACTAACATAGACGGCGGACATACTTGGTAGCACTTTGTCAGGCTGTCGGTCATAGCATGACATCTCGAGTTCAGTGCGATATTGCCTTCTTCCGCCCGGGCCACACGAGCAAGCAGGTCGTATATGTTGTGCTCCATGTTTTGGAACCTTAGTTCGGTCGCATCAGTTACGGGTTCAGCGGGTGTTCCAGGCTGCGAAGCAGGAGCCTTGTGGCTAGGGAATGAATCGCGGTGGATCAAAGCGTGCCTCGAAGCACGGCGCTTGATCTCTCGTAGACCAGCTAGATCGCCTCTTTTGAAGTTCCCATTGCCATGTTTAAATTCCCAGAGCGCAGAATCTGGGGACCCGGTGTGAAAGACGTCGCTCACTAGCAGAATCAAGAATGGTCAGAATTCGCCCAATCAAAGCTAGCTTGCGAGACACTCACCTTTGTGAAACCCATACATATTCAGCTGCCGAACGAACGAGGAGATATTGGTATGCTTGAAGTACGATCTGAGAGGGTCAGGGACGAGTTTATTGGCAGAGAAGATAGCACCCACGCTAGGACTTTGGAGAATTCCGACGTTGGCGACATGACGAAGCTATCGTTTGTACCGGACCAAGAGATGAGATGTTGGATGCCGGGGTCTTCTAGCATACTGTTTCCAAAAATTGTAAGCCGATGAAGACAAAACGCGAAGACCCAAAAAAAAAAAAAACATACTTGTAGAGCTTGTGAATGAACGCAGTCTGGACGACCTTTGGCTGCTGAGCTGCCGCCGCAGCGCCGATAGCCGGATTCGGAGCATTCAAAGAATTGTTTCCAGCTTCAGCGCCATTGGTGATTCCGGTCATTCGGTCGTCAGTGCCATGCGCGCCCGTGGGCGGAGGGGTGATATCCATCGAATGCTGACCAGACGATGACAGTACAGGAATGTTGCGTGTCCTGCCGGGGGCATCTGGTACCCCAGCAAATGAAATCCTAGTAGAAGGAGGGTCGGCAAGACGACTCATGTCGGAGGGGTGTGGGTTTATATATAGCACAAAATCGATGGTGGATGCGACGGGATCGTGAGGGGTGGAATTCGGACGCGATGGACCGTTTATGCTCGTGCCGAAAGAACGTGGGAGATCAACCAATAATCAACACTTCTGTCATCGCGCAGAAATTGGGCTCTTTTCTCGAAAAATAAAAGTAACAGGGGGGGAGAGAAGAAGAAGAAAAAAGAAGAAAGTCTCGAAGTGTCTGGAAGGTTGAGAAAAAGGGCTCTCTGCGGGGAAGGGGGCCGGAAATGCGTTGACAATCGGATCTGCAGATGTGAATTATACAAGTTATACGAAGTACGGAGTACGGAGAACGAAGTACAGGGATGAAAGAAAAAGGATATGGATATTACATATATGTGAAAAAAGGGGTCATAGGGCTATTTACTTTAATTATCTAACGTTTTACTATCTCTCATAGCCCTATTGGCTTGGATTCTGCCAATTGAATTCTCGACTATAACACTATAACACTATAACACTATAACACATACATATATATCTATATCTATATCTATATCTATATATTTCAGATAAAGAGTCTTGAGGTATTTTTAACTCTTAGATTCGGATTTAAAGGGTCCATGTCTGATTGGAGTTAGACTGTAGTTCTACATAGTACTATTATTATACCTTAAATTACCCCCTAATAACAATGACTATCACGATATTATTAGCTTAATTATCCCTGGCCCTCGGACAAAAGACAGTCTGAAATTTGTATTGATTAGATTCTCTTCTTTGACACTGCTTCTTGCATTTTCTCTTGCATATACATATGGCCCTAATTCTTGTCGGGGTATCGACATATTATTCATACAGTATTACTTGACAAAGCGCTTGTATTGACTGCAGTGGTCCACTAGTCCACGGGTGGGTTTGACAGGGGTTACATATCTGACTAGTTGATATAGTCACTTCTTCAGCGGATTCCCACTTTTTACCCATCAAATCACCAAGTTGCAATTCTCATATTAGGGAGACCGGAGGGGTGCCATGTCTCATCAAAGCACCAGATCCAGATTTTCCCATCCGCGGGGAATATAATAAAGTCCCCGTCCCCAAAAGCCGAGGTGCAAAACCGCTCATGTGGAAAAACCACTCTGTGTGAGGATTCGAATCGACACGCTTTCGCATCGCGGACATGTGAAGGATCTGGGAATTCAAAGCCAATGCGCAATATTGTCGTCCCTGAGAGGTGGGAGTTCTCAAAACAATAAATCAGGCCACGACCCTGGGTTGAATAGTCTAGGTTGACGTGAGGACTCTTGGAGTTCGGCCCGGGGGCATGGAAATGCACGGTAATCCGATCATCTGCCTCGAGTGAAAGAGAAAGTGAACCAGACTCAACCTCGTCTCGTAGAGGGGGATCATCTGTAGGATAAAGAGTTCTCCTGTAAGCTTCAGTCGTACAATTTCCCAGCAAAGTAGAGCTTTGACCGGGGCGCAGACACGCTCTGTATTTTGTTATGGTGTCTCCTGGTGTGTATTTAGACCCCCATAATTCGTCATGTCTGAAAGGAAGCTCTTGATAATGCTCCCAGATACAAATAAACGTATGATCATGGACAGAGAACTTCTGGGTTTGCAAATGATGCGCCTCCCAGAACAAGCCAGCATATTCCCATATTTGAATATTGTTGCCATCTTTTCTGCGGACGCAAACGACGGAGAATCCATCCTCCTCTGGATCTAATGATAGCAAAAGAATGAGCGGCCCGATTTGGACAGAACGGGCGACTCCAGAGTCGAAGCAGAAGTGGACTACGGAATCCGCGTAGCTCAACATTACTTTTGATCCGATAGATATGTAATGCCCAAATCGCAACGAAGGGATGCGAAAGAACTTGTACTGTTGGTTACGCATGTTCCAGACATGACAATACCTATCGTGTCCAGTCAGAAGTGCATTCAACAAAGTGAGACTGCCTTCCTGGTTACATACCCCCGAACAGAAGTCGCTGAGATCAAAATGTCCGAGACCTGGACATGAGTAAATTCTTCTCGATTTGCCGTTGTGAGGGTTCTGTTTTCGCCGGTTGGTAGGTTCACCACGAAGATAGTAGTCCGATCTGTGGATTTTTCAATCCACGCGCATACTCCGTTGAAACAGCTCATGGCGTCTCTGTTTACTGCGTCGTCTATATTGGGAGACGAGTCATAAGGGACTTTAACCACGACAGCAGGCAAGCCCCTTTCCACTCGAATTCGTTTTTTAATCAGCGCATTCAAATCAGCCGGGGTAAAATTGGGCTTGATGACACTTTTCCCCATGTGATATCTGATTGCAGCAGTAACGACGATAGGTGAAGAGAGCAATACATGCCATCGTTTGGAGACCTTTGTCAATATAAACATGTCAATATACGTCACAAGTATCCCAACAGACGATGGCATACCCTTCGAAGGAAAACAAGGTCGGCTAGGTTCAAGTACTTTACTAACATAGCCACCAGTTCAAGGGGCAGTTTGCCGAGTAAATCACATTGGAATGTCATCGTTTCGAATCGGCTTTTCACTTCTCGCATCTCATGAGGCCTTAGGTTATCAAGGATTTCATTGAGCCTGTTTGTATTAGCGGGTCAGTGCCGACTCTAAACTTTGGATGTGGGACATACGCTGCTCGCCGGCTTGAGTTGTCGCGGAGAGCCATGAAGACCGCGAGAATGGGTTGAGTGGTTGAGTCCATATTGGATCAAATAGAATGAAATATTAAGATAAATGAAGAGATTTTCTAAAAAAAAAACATTATTGAATGATAGGATTTTTGTTGCCCAGGATTGCGTCTAGGCAACGGGCTGAGGTTTAAGGTGGTAGCCCTGAAGGTGACCCGCGGACTTCAGTACATAAGCGACATCCGGAGGCTCAACATTATACAAACCCCTTAGAACCTCCCAGTTTTCTGCTTTTCTTCTTTGTTATATATCCATCATGGAAGTATTATAGGATTTTATTATTCCCTAAGCTCTGCTAAGCCTCTAAAGAAGCTCAAAGGTCGCGGAGAGGCCTCCATATATGTCATGATCTTAGGACACTACCGATGCTCCGCCAAACTGATAGACCTACAAGTGGGGAATATCGCTTATTAGACAGAAGAAATATCTGGGTACGGTCAAATCCAAGCTGTTATAACTTCTACTATAGAGATCGGGGAGGGGAAGAGGAATTTATTTCCATTTAATGTATGGGAAGCAGGGTATTTATAGTTACCCTGAATCTGTCAAACAAACCTGTACAATCAGGCATCAATGGGGGTGATCTAACTAACACAAGCCATCTTTGCTCGGAGTAAGCATCTACCCTACATATAATGAACTTTATAAGGAATACTTCACACTAAACAATGAGAGATCAGATATCATCTCTCACACATCCCGATTAGGAACTGATCTAGGTCATAGAAACACTCAAGAATACAGTGACAAAAAGAAAATAAATGACACAGGAACAGGCGCAAAAGCATTACAAAGATCTCTCTAAGATGTCACTGCGGCGGTTCGGTTCGGTTCGCTAGCCCCAGGAATAAGGCAAATGAAAATGCTCCCTACCCTCTCTATCATTATAACCAACAGAGTAAACACTCTTTAGATGCCGAGGGTGAACTCAACACCGACGTCGATGTCGCGGGCCATCTTGACGACCTTGGAGAACTGGACGGACTTCTCAGCGGCGTTCTGGAGGTCCTCAATGGAGAAGATCTTAAGGCCGGACTCGTTGATCTGGAAAAGTAGGGGATTCGGTTAGTTTACACCGTAGCAAAGAATGGGGGGGAATGGGGACGGTAATCATACCAGCTTGTGGGCCTGCTCCATGTTGGTACCCTGCAGACGGGCGATGATGGGGGTGCGCAAGTTCATCTCCTGCACGACGTTGATCAAACCCTGGGCAATGGCGTCACAGCGGACGATACCACCAAAGATGTTAACGAAGACGGCAGACACCTTGGGGTCGCTGGTGATCAGCTCGAAGGCGCTCTTGATGGCAGCGGGGGTGGCACCACCGCCGACATCGAGGAAGTTAGCGGGGGTACCGCCGTTAAGCTTGATGATATCCATGGTGGCCATAGCGAGACCGGCACCGTTGACTAAAAGCAAGAATTAGTATTGTGAACTTTAAGGGTATCAACAGAATCCTTACCGAGGCAGCCGATGTCACCATCGAGCTTGATGAAGTTGAGACCGTGCCTAGAAAAAAGAAAAAGTTAGTCAATTTTGTTTTTGGTCCGTTTTTTTCCTCTTTCAAGGGAACCTACTCAGCGGCCTTGACCTCATCGGCATCCTCCTGGGAAACATCGCGCCACGAGAAAGCCTCCTTCTGACGGAACTCGGCGTTGTCGTCGAATCCAAGCTTAGCGTCCATGGCCAAAACCTGGTGGTCGGAGGTCTCAGACAGGGGGTTGATCTCGAGCTGGGTAACATCGCGCTCCATGAAGCACTTGTAGAGGTTCTGGATGGTAGACTTGGCCTCCTCGATGCACTGCTCGGAGAATCCAAGGTCGGTGGCGATGGTGCGGGCGATCTCGTCAGTCACACCGACATGGATATCGATGGGGGTGGTGATGATGGCATCGGGGCTATCCTTGGCGACAGCCTCGATATCCATACCACCCTGGGAGGATGAGACGATGACGGGACCACGGGTGGTACGGTCAAGGAGGACAGCGAGGTAGAATTCACGGCGGGCGAACTTGCGCTCGCAAATGTAGACCGAGTTACAGATACGGCCGCCAGCTCCGGTCTGTTTGGTAACGAGCTTGTGACCGATCATCTGGCCAGCGAACATCTTGGCCTCGGTGGGACTGCAAAGATATCTATCAGCTTCATTGTTCCCGAAATGTTGTCGGATTGATTCAACTCACGAGTAGATCACGCGGACACCACCCTTGAGACCATTGTCGAACTGACCCTTACCACGGCCACCGGCGAGAACCTGGGCCTTGATAACGAGATCACCACCACCTGAAATGTAATGTTCAGCGAGCGCGTTTCAAGGGGAAATATCAGTAGGATTTTCTTACCGATGGACTTGGCAATAGCCTCGGCCTCTTCGGCATTGTTGGCGACTTCACCCTTGGGGACACCGACACCGTACTAGATTGTTGATCAGTGATCCCGAGTTCCCTTTTTTTTTTCGGGCGACCGAAGGGTGAAACGCGGGTTCACGTACCGACTTGAGGAGCCTTGCGGAGAGGTACTCGTGGATGGAAAGGTTTCGCTTCTGCAAAGCGAGTCTGCTCTGGATGGAGGGTTGCTATTGTTCATGGCCAAAGTCAGCTCAATCACATAAAAGCGCGACCCGATCGAATTCAGATATAACTCACTGTCGCAGCCTTGAAGGCCGCCGCAACGGGTCTACCGCGAGCAAGCTTGAACATGATGACTTAGGATGAGAGAGGAGAGGGGGAATTTGTAGCAGGGCGGAGGTATAAAGCCCGTTTAGATAGTTGGTAAGGGACCGGGAGAACAGCTTTCTTTTTCACTTCGGGGTGACCTTGCATTGCGGTAAAATCGGGTGCTGTAGCCAACCAGCGATCGTTACTGACCTGACTCAGCATGGGTTCGGGGACAACGCGAATATAACGGAACATGGCTATTAAAGTCGGTACTTCCAGATATTTACATATATAGATATATATCTAGATATATCTATATATTTAAAAGGATCTTGTCCAATAAATTTCTGTATTATTACAGATATGTATATTATATTCACTAAACTCATACCTCAAACCCAAGATCCCTCCCCTTATTTGCCCGGCGCATTTTTAATCTTCCATAGTTTGAACATTTTAGTCATAACCCGACCAAACAGTCCCGACCAAGCCCAGCCACCCGACAGCATCCAGATCAACCAGCTAGCACGACCCTCCCAGATCCAATTCTTGCGACCGCGAGCCCACGGCCACAACCAGCGCCATGGAGCTGAACCATACAACACTTGAGAAACGACACTGCGAGCATAGGCATCATTGGGCATAGCGTTGTGCTGGCTATGCTTCACACGGGTAAGATACTCGCTCTCGATAGGAGAATACAAGGAACCCGGCTGCAGAGAACGGTCGGTACGCGCAATACGCGATTGAACACCGCCGGTAACGATGGTTGTGACATGAACGCTGTTGATCCTTGTTAGAAAACACAACCTAACGAAGTTGAAATTTGGGGGCTATATCTAACGAACCCGAATGGAGCCAGCTCCACGCGAAGCGTGTCACTGAACGAGTGCAGTGCTGCTTTAGAGGCGTTGTAGACAGAGCCGAATACATATGGAATGATCTAGTCATTGTCAGTGAGATGGGATCTGCAAAGATGGACGTATCTCAAACTTACCCCGGCGACAGATCCGATCTGCACGATGGTACCCTTCGCCTTGATAAGCAAGGGCAGGAATGTCTGGCACATAGCAATGACCGCGAAAAGGTTGGTCTCAAACGTTTGGCGAACCTCTGCAAGCTCTACTTCCATTGCAGGAACGGTGTAATCTGCAGCAATCAGTACCTATTCCAAATAATTGACGTCGGAAGCCCCGCGACAGCGAGGTTACATACTCCGACCACTATTGGATATTAGCCAGATGTACCATCCACGGGTAACATTCCAAACGCTACTCACGCGTTATTAACGAGATAATCAAGACCTTTGTCTCCGAGTCTCTTTTCGACATCCGCAAAACACAATTTCACGTTCTCCGGGTCATCAACTGTAAGGCTCAAGGTTTCAATACCGAGGTCTGCCAGATCAGAGATAGTCGCCGCATCGCGCGCGGTAGCCAGCACGCGCAGTCCATTTCGGTTGAACTCGCGCGCAAGGGAGTTGCCAATTCCACCGGGGGAGCATCTACGGTATTTATCAGAGTCGGTTGTTGTTATCTGTCCGAGGTTGCTTGTCACTTACCCTGTGATGAGCACCGATCTGCGAGTGTCTGTCGTTTCCGGCATGGTTAAGATTGGGTATAATAGACTGAAACAGATTTATAAATTTGGGGAGAAAAAGGTTCCACGATGTGATAGAACAGCTGGTGAGAGCAACTACAACATCTATCTGCTAGACAAGTGGAGACCAAACAAATGCCTCGGCTTTCCCTGTTTCACGGGCATAGCAATGAGCCCTAAGCCCTATTGCCTGATTTGTCTTTATAGTATAAAAGTGGCTTAGAGGTATGAATATGGATTGCACGTTAACAAATCGGAAGATAGGTTGAAGTAGGTTGCTCCACCTGTAACAAAGCTTAGATCTTTGAACCATCTCGAAAATATTCCCGATATTTTCGAGAATCCACGTAACTATTCGTCTACACTGTTCATCCCTCGAAAGCAACCCAATGGAGACAATCGAAACAATAACATTTTTCAAACATGATTTGTCCCCGTATATTAGCAATTTAGACTAAAGCGTCCCGTCCAGTGGCCTCGGATGCGTGCCGATTCTCAAAGGTGAACCCAACAAGTAACCTCGTCTCGTCTGTGGCGGAGAACCAGCATTTGATATTCGAGGGGCGACGATGGGATTTAACGACATTGATGCCATCGATGCACCCAAAACCCTCAGCTATTTACAACGTTGTATGTACTGGAATATCAATAGTCTATTCGCCATTGCCACTGGTAGATTTCTTGCCATCGGTCCCCACATTAGTCCCCGTCGATTCCGCGACCCCAACGACCCGTCTATTATGCTCTACGGAAATCTTCAGCCGGTATCGCTATTAATCAAAGGGCTTCAATAGAAACCCAAAATTGTACATTATTTTTTTCCATGCTAGCATCTTAGCTTTTTGTGGTACCACCTCTACCACCGCTCATGTCATCATCCGCAAGCAAGCAGCACAATAGAAATCCCGAACGAGAGGGGGAAAGCTCACGCTATCCACCCTTGTATGCAGCCTTGTGTGCACTTGTTACGTCAAATCGCAGCATCCAGTGATGGCCACTGAATCCGACCTACCCCGGCATATGCGAATTCCCGGCGAAGACGGGTACCGAACTCCAACGATAGAAGATGCCGAGCGGGCGCTCTCAGTCCTCGGGGCCGTTGAAGAAAGCCCCGCCGGCGGAGTTCGCGAAGCTCATTCGTCTGCCTTGGATGCTGCACTGCAGCGAGCCTCTTCGCGGGCTACTGTGAAAACAAAACCAGATAAGGAAGTCGCTGCGTGTCGAGAGCATAACGGACTGGGCCTGTTTGGGCTCAAGCGCACTGTTTCTGGCGAGCTGAGCTGGAAGAAGCGCATTCGTCATGTTACGTGGGCGTATTTTACGTTGACTATGGCTACGGGTGGGCTAGCTAATGTCTTGTATCAAGGTCTGCATGGTCGATCTCATTCTGTTTGGTTGAACATGGCTAACGAAGACCAGTTCCATTTCGATTCAAGGGCTTGGATACCATTGGGGTCGTTGTCTTCCTAGTTAATATCGCTTTATATCTGATCATCTGGGCTCTCCTGCTTGTTCGGTTCTATCATTATCCATATACGTTTAAGGCGTCGCTCAAGCACCCAACAGAGTCTCTCTTTGTGCCCGCGTCGATAGTATCCTTCGGTACAATCCTAATCAACGTATCGCAATACGGGCCCGAAAATACGGGTCCGTGGTTGATGCGCGCAGTCTGTATTCTGTTTTGGATTGATGCCACTCTAGCGGTGATGTTCTCGGCCGGCATCTACCTCCTCCTTTGGTCGACGCAGACATTCACCATCGCGCAGATGACTCCTATCTGGATTTTCCCTGCTTACCCGATGCTCATCATTGGCCCGCATGCTGGGATCCTCAGCGCGAAGCTGGAACCGTCACAGTCTCTGCCGGTTATTATTGGCGGCACAACTATCCAGGGAGTTGGTTTTTTGGTTTCGTTGATGGTTTACTCGGCCTTCATCTACCGGCTGATGACGCAGAAGCTGCCGAGGGAAAATATCCGTCCTGGTATGTTTGTCTCTGTGGGACCGAGCGGTTTTACGGTTGCCGGGCTGGTGAATATGGCGGCTGGGGCGAAGCGGTCGTTTCCGGCCGGTTTTATGGGCAATGGGGAGCTGGCTGCCGATGTGTTGAAGATTGTTACTAATTTTTCATGTCTTTGGCTTTGGGGGTATGTTCGGCTCCTTGGTTGTTTCTATCTACTCAGCTAACTCTTTTCTAGGTTAGCCATATTTTTTTTCATTATTGCAAGCGCAGCCCATTGGTCGGCGATTGGGCACGGTCGCATGGTCTTTTCAATGACCTGGTTCTCGTTTGTCTTCCCTAATACTGCCTTGATTACTGCTACTTTTGCTATTGGCGAGGCATTCTCCTGCAAACCTATTGAAATTGTTGGGTGCGTGGCGGTACTACCGTTGCTATTGATGTACTTCTTTGTGTGCTACATGATGATTCGAGCTATTTTGACGCGACAGATCTTGTGGCCCCAGAAAGGCGAGGATAGAGACGAGGGTGGGTTCGAAATTCATCGGGTTAAGCCAGTGGCTGCGGCAGAGATCTTAGGGCATACATAGGTACACAATATATATATCGACACGGCTTGTATATATCGACGTATGTTTTGCATAAAAACCATAAATTCCCAACTTGCAAGAGAACACAATCCATTATAATATTTACATAAATGGATTCCAACACCACTTACACACAATACAAAAAGTAAGAAAAAAAAAAAACCGAAGATATAGATAACAAGCAAAAACAAAACAAAACAAAAAAAGAATGGACCCGCCGGGAATTGAACCCGGGACCCCCCGCAAGTCACTGTTGTAGTGCGAAGCGGGTATTATACCCCTAAACCACAGGCCCATTTGATGGAAGATTGTGCTTTTATTTGTCATTCGACGAGGTCCAACATAAGCTGCATGCACCAGTATACCACGAAGATATCATAAAAGTGATCACACAAGTGATAAAGAAATATCTTCAAATGAAATGATACATACTATAACTGGTTATAATCCAGGTAAACACATGAACCACTGCTATTTCACGAAGAACTAATGTATGTTTGGGGTTCCATCCACAAGATCTTACCAAGCCCTATATATCACTTGGAACTATAGTATATAGATTGTTCCTTCCCAACCTCTCTGTATCTAAACATGAGAAGGGAATCTTGGAATGGTAGACCGGTGAGGTAATTAAAATAATATTTTTGGAAGACGTAACGTTCCCACCAGCGTGTAATAACCCCCCCCCCCACCCTTTGTCCCCCGTACCTGTATGCTCCATCAGCACTGCACTATCATCACTGAAGCACCCCTCGCAAGAAACCTCTTACCATAGTATCAACCCCCCTCCCTCCCCCTGTCGTGTCAATGAACCGATTATGGATACCGTCCTTCTTGCAACCAATTTCACTTGGCCTCGACCGATGCGGTCAACAATATGCTAAACGACACCTGAAATCCCAGCTCTTCCGTGCAAAATAAGACGCAGAGTGTACGGTTTATTCTATGAAATATTATATCGATTTTCTGGCTGGTACTATTCGTGGTTCAATATACTATTGAATATAAGTATTGTACAATTGCCATTTGGTTTGGTCTTAAGTGGATAGATTGGACGAGTTTAGAGGAGGCCGCCGCGATGAAAATAGCGCGAGCTGCCGGAATGCCTGTTTCAAGAGATTTGTCTTATGGGGAGCACCCTTACGCGCCCTTTAATCGCGTTTTCTCGATATTGATAACGAGATTGCCTAGAACACTTGAGAACTTAGCTGACCTTCGATATGTTGAACTAGAGAACCGTGACTTTTTAAGCTGAAAGAATGCGTCACCTTTATACGTACTTGGTTTTCGCCTTATACCCAAAATATTTGCTCGGTTTTGGGTACCTCGTTACGAAGTTCAAGAGTGCCTAACTATATAATAGGTCCGTTTACTGATAAAGAAGAGCTTGACAATTATCTCTTAAGTTCTGCCTCCCGGTATAGCTTCGACTTAACTACAGAGTATACCTAAGCCTTAACACAAGCAAATAATAAAATCTACAAATACTCTCATCGGATTACTTTCACCTATGGTGACTTTAAAGTTCATAATATTCTCGTCGGAGATGATGGCCATCCTTCGGCTTTCCTTGATTGGGAAGCTGCTGGCTGATATCCTGAATACTAACATTTTTACGACTGCAATGATATATGGAAAGAGGGTGGTATCAGGTGGCTTTGTGGGTTGTTAGGGACCAGTACGATGGGGAGTTGGCCTGTGATATTGCGCTCAACTCATTGACGGTTGACTCATATATAGCGTCCTGAAGAGTGTTTGATCTACAGTATGTGTTGTTTTTTCTGCCATTTATTTTATCTGTTAATAACTCCGTATGATCATACAATAGTTTGCATCGGGAAGTGAGGAGATACAGGGAAACCAGACGACATTTCACCGGGCGACGGATATGGGTAGTCACTGACCTTGCTATAAGATTCGTCCAGCAAATCCAGGTCAAGATAAACTAGGGTAGAGGTATAGTGGAAGAGAAAGAGCTCTTTATCTTAAAATCGTCATCTACCGTGATGGTCTACACAGTCTACACTAATGACCACAGAAATTTAGAAAAATCGAACAATGAATTCTACAAAAGTCAGTCGGGGTATCGAACTAATGTGTAAAAAAAATGAAAAGAAACAAAGATCATGCCTGCCACCTAAGCATCCTCCATCACGGCATCCTTTGCCGCGATTACGGGAGAACTGCCGGCGGAAGCAGTCGAGCTTCCGCCGGAGTTACTCCCACGCTTCTCCTTCTTCTTCCCCTTCTTGGGGGACTTTGAGCTTCGACCACGGCGGTGGTGGTCAACCGCACCGCCGGACAACTTGCGGCCACGACCGGGCTCCCGCGCCGGCATGTTGAGGATTATCCGGGGGCCGCCCCTGACCCCCTCCACGGACGTTGGAATCTGTGGAACTGGTGGGAGGTTCAGGGGACTGACGCCCCGATGTGGAGTTTCCGCGCGCGTCAGACTGGTGCTCTTCCGACGGGAGGCACCCACAGACGGGGAGGCCTCGCGCGAGGCAGCAGGGAGGGTCGTGGCCGCAGTGGTGGTCTTTGGGGTCTTCAGGCCCTTGCGGGCCTGGCGTCGTGGGGTGGCAGGGCGGGGGGTGGTGGGCACAGGGGTCGCCTCCTTGGGCTTGCGTGCGCGCAGCTGGCGCCCCTTCTCGGCGGGGATGATGAGGTCGAGACCCCTATCCTGGGCGCTCTGCTCTCGTCGCTGGCGGTTCAACTCCGCCGGCCGACAGCTCAGGGTCTGGCGACCATCGGGGATGATGAGCTTCGAGAGCTCCCCGGTGGCCACTGCCCAGCTCACTTCTGGCAAAGGGGAGGCGACGATGTTGGTATCGAGGTCCCCGGTGGATCTCCGGTCTCTCCCGGGGGCGACAACCTTCGCTGCGAAGGACTTGGTCGCTGTCAGGTAGGTGGCTGCACTTTTCTTGCGCCCTTTGCTGGGCGTTGGAGCCAAGATGGCATCCAATTCCCTCAGATTATTCTGAGACCACCACTCACTTTTGAACTCTGAGTTCCCACTCAGACCTGACAGATGACTGAGCACACCGGAGGATAACGCGCGGTCACTGTAGCCGCCCTCGAGAACGCTGATGACGCGCCCTTCCACACCGAGGCCTTCCTCTTGTGACATGCGGACGACATCCGCAGTAAACTTGGCGTAGAACTCAGTCGGCACCTTCACGCTGTGGCGTTGCATGCCATTGCCTTCCCACTCGCTGGCATCAAAACCGGCAGAGATAAAGATTGCCGCTTTGGGCAGTGGAGCACTCGGATTCTCTTCTCGTTCTTGGTTGAGTTCCATTGTGCGTTCGCGAAGAAATGAGCGGGCTTTGGTGAGTAACGTGTTGTATTTCGTCTGGTACAAATCCCAGAACTCATCGAGATCGGTCCACTTTTGGAGATGAACGTTCCAGATGGACTGATTGTGTGCTTCGACGCAGAGGCTGGCACCCATGACTTTGTCGCGCTCGCCATTCTCACAAGGGAAAGAGTTCACATCATGCAAGCTGTAATAGCCGATTGCTGCTTTGGTATATGGGGGAGCGTCTTCATATTCCTTGAATTTCGTGGCATCGGCTCTGGCCAAGTCGGCCTTTTGTGTTTTATTGAGTAATTTGGAGTTGTGATCGTATGTGATGTCCTGAGAACCATCGCCATGGTGAAGATCGAAGTCAAGGATTGCAGCGTGGGTGAGACCGTGGGTTGTTGCTGCGTGGGAAATTCCAACATGAACGTTGTTGATCCAGCAAAAGCCGGAAGGGAAGTTAGCCGAACAATGGTGACCGGGAGGTCGAATGCAGACGAATGCACGCTGGATTGGACCAGACTTGAAAACAAGATCCACTCCCTCGCAGACGCCCCCTAGGGCTCCTTGGAAGGCATTCACAGACTCGGAGCACAAGTATAGGTCGTTAGTATTCAGGGCGGGACCACTTGTCCCGAGGCCGTCGTCTTCTTCCGTCCGTCGTCTAGCAAGTTCGTTTCCATCCGTAATGAGCCGTGACTCTGCAAGATCCCCCATCCACTTCAGTTCTGACATCCATTGGGTCCCATGAACATCCGTAACAGCAGTACAAGACAGAGGCACCTTGCGATCAGTCTTGATAACTTGAAAAGGGGCATCAATCTCGTTCAAGCTCGAACTTAGATTTGGTGCGAGATCTTCCCCATGTCGAAAGCCGAGAAGAACATAAGCTGCAGAGATGCCCACAGCGCAGGCGCGGATGCGCTCTGGTCTTTCGACAATTCTCTCGAGAGTTCGCTTTGACGCTTCAAGCTGAGAGTAACGATGGCCATAGCAGTCGTCGTGAACAATGATAGCCGTTTTAGTGCTGACATTACCGGATTGGTGTAATGCAAGCTCTTTTGAGAAGTGCTCAGCGGCGACAGACGAAGCAGTCGGAATTGGAGCTTCTGGGGCCGGGCTAGAGACAAGGCGTGCGGGGTGCATCGCGGGTGATGTCGCGGTGGTTTGAGACCCCACAGAGGTGAATGATGTGCGGCGTGAACGGTCAGGAGTTGGAGAAGAAGATTTGAGCGGTTGCGAGACAGAACGAAGAGATGCAGTGGACTTGCGCTTTTGTAGTGGTGCAATTGACTTGCGTCGTTCCTCTCGAACAGAGACAGAACCGGCTGTTTGTGAGACAGATTGCACAGGTTGCTTTGACTGTAAAGAAACAGTTTCAACAGATTGACCTGACTGTAAAGAGACAGGTCGGACAGGTTGGGTGGGCTGTAGAGGAATAGCAGGTACAGGTCGAGTGGCTTGAACAGATATAGGGGGAAGATAGGATGGAACAGGAGAGAGACGAGGCGATGAGGGTAATGGGATCTCTGTCGCCAGAGTCAGGCGATTTAGAGAATCGACCAATTCAGAATGCCCTTCATCGATATTGTTGTCCTTGACACCATTGTCTATGAATAGTGGCGGGCCCTCCTGAGTGGAGGGTTGTTTGTATTCCATGTTGCAGATATCGACTCTGCTACAAAGGGCCAATACACGATGTTTCTTCTCATTCAATATGAAATCGAAGGTGAAAGATGATAGGTCGAGGTTCGTTGAATAGGCAAGGGGAAACAAAAGAGACAAAGAGACAAAGGAAGGGTGGGGATTCACATGTTTGGGTTAAGCCACATGGGGTAAGTGTTCGGTTGATCACCAGACCATAGAACAACGACATGCGAACATTCTTATGTTTCTACTTCTACTTCTATTGTTTCTATTGTTTATATATATATGATTTTAATGATCTTCTTTGATCTTCTTTGAATTGGTTCTTGTTGTTTTAGGTATTCTTTTGATTCATAGCTTTTGTAACAATCCACAACCATGCTTCATGCTCTCTCTCTGCATCAACCAGACCTCATTTCTAACATAAAATAGATATATATATAAAAAGAATTCAATAAAGACAAGAATTGAATTTCATGCAGATCATCTAGATCATTGCATCCACGTGATGGAACACTGCAAACCTGCAGAATTCCATTTTCCCAAGACCGAAACCAAGACCCCGAATCCCCGAACACCCAAGCTGTAAAAAAGATAAGACAGAGAATAGAGAAAAAAAAAAGAAGTCAAATGGAAATTTTTTCACTAACGCGACCGCAGACCTCGCCACTGATACCACTGATACCAACGGCGCCCGAAAGAATCCTTTTCACCAAGGGAATCTTCAGATCGGCGGCGCACCTTATGCTCCTTCTTGCGGGTCTCCTTCTCGGACTTGAAGCCACGCGTGGCGTGTGAGTTACAGAAGCAGTGCATATGCACGGTCTCGATGCTGATGCCCGGGCAACCGTTCCGGCGGTGGGCGGCGCAGACGTTGTTGCCAGCATCTTCTTCGCATTGGCACCATTCGTAGAGTGTGAAGTATTGGCGGCACATGGTTGCTTTTTTTGTATACTTTTCTTCAAAGTGGCAGTTGACAGTTGACAGTTGCGGGGTGTCCCACAGGTACCCGCAGTTGCGTTTTGGTAGTCGAATAGGGATAGTTGATGGACGATGATATGGATTTCGTGGTAGTTTCGGAATGTGTCAAGCAGAGCGAATGTGAGATGAATATTGATGATGGTGTATTGGCAGGGGAATGAGGATTTCAAATGCCCAATATTGTACCGGAGTAGCTACTAAGCCTAATCGGAAATTCCGGGAAAGTATGCTTTGTAGCTGATGTCTGAGATACTCGGAGATTTGAAAGGCTTGTTCAGACCAGCTGAAATGAGACGTGATGATATGGGGGAGAGTTGAAGATGTTAGGGATCAGCAGGAAAAAGAATCTGATATAAAGGAGGGTGGACAAGAAGCTCTTTAAGTTCGCTAGGTTGCCTAATGTAATGATGAGTAAATAGTCATTGATCGTGTCTATGAATGGAACCACGGCTATTGATTGGAGCTGACGTCAAAGAAACCTTTTTGATTCTTATGATCCACAGAGATTATTATAATCATCTTATTAGTGGGCTTACACCTTGCCTAGACCTTACCCCATCCGTCGGCTGAGAACTGCAGGTTACATCTGACACCAGGTTGTATTCTCGCCGAGCGCGCGATGGGACTTGGTCCCTCTATTCTTGCCCTTGGGGAGGTATAGGCTAGAATTACGTTAACTAGTTACTCTTAATTAAGAAAATAGGCAGCAAACTTGGCGCCTTGATGGGGACAGGGGGTTACAAGGTGAGGTAATGGAAATGGGATTGGTCTTGGAAGAAAGCGAGACCAAAAGAAAAAAAGAAAACAAGGCGGTTATTGTCTTGTCTCAACAGATTCAACAAATTCAACAAAGGCAGTACCAGAAATAAATCCATGCAGAAACATTAAAAATAGAGATCAAGGTCCTGCCTGCATCAAAGGAGGTAGGTTGAAACTTGACGGCGATAAATTTGATCGACAAGACCAGCCGAGAGCCAGTCAGCCCTGACAGGCTGAGACGAACTGGGGGATCCGCCCATACCCGGCGCTCCGCAGGGGTCTCTTTTCCGAGCATGCAGATTCGTGATTGGAGCAGAGGTCTGTCTGGCTTGCCGCCAGGATCTCACATCGGGATGACCTGCCAAGTGACCTGTCTCGTCTAGCGCCGAAGAAAATAATAATAGAGTTTGAATGTCAGTCGAGGTTCTAGAGTAGATCGATCGAGAACGATGATCTCACCGTCAACTGTCAAGGACGCAAACGGAAAAGCGAAAATAAAGTGTGAGGCGCAGGGCCTGTGGCGGTGTGTCAAAGTCACGTGCACCGGAACATCTTCCGAGGGAATTGGTGCCTGAGGCTCTCATAGAAAGTCCACCTTCTATCCATACTCGGATTTAATTTACCTCGACTCAATTGATTGAACATATTATTGCAATCCGTACCTAAACCTATACCGAACCCCCAAACTTGCAAATACCAAGTTCTCAAAAGGAGCACACCGCCTCTACGAATCGATCAATATCATCAATCACAATCACAATCACAATCACCACAAACACCAACAACCCCACCCAACCTGCAATGACAACCAACACACCATCCGAGACTCCAACAATGACTCCAGCAACACCAGCACGTGCCAATGCACTCCTATCAAACCTAACAGCCGTGCTCACTCGCGTGCGCACCGCCGTCCTCCAATCCCCAATTCCCAACAAACCAATCCGACTCGTCGCGGTCTCCAAGCTCAAGCCCGCATCCGACGCACTGGCACTGCACCAAGCCCCAGGATCACAACTCCACTTCGGCGAGAACTACCTTCAAGAACTACTCGAGAAATCGCGGCTGCTGCCTGCAAGCATCAAATGGCATTTCATCGGCGGGCTGCAGAGCAACAAGTGTGTGACGCTTGCGCGGGACGTGCGCGGGCTGTGGGCTGTCGAGAGTGTGGACTCGGAGAAGAAGGCGAAGTTGCTAGATAAGGGCTGGGGAGAGAGGGGTCCTGAGATGGCAGCTACAAACCATGACGAAGATGGGAGGTTGCGCATCTATGTTCAGATTAATACGTCTGGCGAAGAGAATAAAGCTGGTATTGAGCCTGCTAAGGCGGCGGCGCTTTGTCGATATGTTCGTGAGCAGTGTCCTCGGCTTAAGTTGCAGGGTTTCATGACTATTGGGGCTATTGCGAGATCGCGGGCGACGACGGTGGAAAATGAGAATGAGGATTTTGTTTGTCTGAAGGAGACGAGGGATCGAGTTGTTAAGGAGCTTGGGTTGGTTGGGGATGAGGCTGGGTTGGAGCTTAGTATGGGCATGAGCTCTGATTTCGAGGGGGCAATTGCTCTTGGTAGTGATCAGGTTAGGGTTGGGACTACGATCTTTGGAGATCGGCCGCCAAAGGCGGAGGCGAGTGTTGTTTGAGTTTACGAATTGGGGTAGTTATGAGTTACGATTTCGTGAAGACTACATGTAGACTTTGAAAAGCTGTTGAGCTTCTAGTGGTTATCACCACTGAGAATGCTAATTATTAGATGTACCGTATGTATAACACTTCTATTTGTTACTTTACTGCCAAGTGTTATACATAAAGAGATGTGATGTGATGTTCCACCAGGAACACTTTCTAATATTTTACTTGGTAAACCAATTAGAGATATACATAAATGCTTCCATACCACCCGCGAACGCCCTAATAGAAGGCTTCGTCTGCTCTCATGCCCTGCGCTAGCCTCACCTCCATCTGCCTGACCAGTGACTGGGGGACCTCTTCTTGCGTGGCACGAATAGTGACGCGATACATCTGAACAAGAGTGTTAGCTTGACGAAATGAATTGGAGTAGTTCTAATGCATACCTTCTTCTCGTAGTTGGGCTCCAGCCGCAGCAGACAGCCCGTCTTACCACCCTCGAATTGGTACACGGCGCACCCAACAATGTTTTGAGAGTTTGGATCGACACCATCCAAAATCTTGAATGCGAATCCCTCAACAATCCTCCGAGTGAATCTCTCGTTGACAGTCTTGTTCTTACCCAGCAAGCCAAAGGTCTTCTGGGATTCTAGCGGGCCACCGCCAATCTGGCGCCATCGCTTGAAGAATTCATCAGCTGATAGAGACGAGGATTCCATGTAGCGATGCATCAGCACAGGCAGCTGGAGTGTGTAGGCCTGGAGAGCACCGGCCAAGTATGAGATACGAATGGTAGGTGCATCCGTGAAGGGACCATGGGCGGTGCAGAACAGAGTCTGCTGTGTCTGCCCGGCAGCCGCGATTGTTGGTTCGGGCAGGTTCTTTGTGTCGATCTTCAGTTGAGGAGAGGCCGGGTTGTCGACGGTGGTGGTCAGAGAGCCAATGGGGTACGTGGACTTGTTCGAGATGTAGAGCTTTAGGACACCCATAGGACCGCGGTACTCCGAGCGCAGTCCGACCTGGATCTGTGCATCTTCGAAAAGCACACCCTCGCGCAAGAAGAACAGTCGGTTGTAGCCGATGTCCCATTCTGGCGTCAGATGAGCGGCACTGGCCATGTTGGGAGCTGGGGCTGATGGCCCGCTGAGATCCAGGCCGGCCAAGTCGCCCGATGCACTGGCCGCATTGGACGCGGTTGCCGGGCTGGCTGGAGTACTGCCGGACCCAGTGCGCGTGCCATGAACGATTGTCGTGAAAGTGCGCTTGAGACCGGTGTTCTGTGCCAAGAGCATTTCCTGCTTGTCCGCATTCGCGTCCTTGCCACCGATAACCCAGGTCTTCTTCTCGCTTGCACCGGCTGTCTTCTGGTGTAGCCGAGAAAGTAGGATGGAGGTTCGCTCCGAGAATGGCGGCATCTCATCACAGACTGTTCGCAGTAGGTCGTCGGTCGGGAGAGTCGCCAGCGACAGGTACTCAAATGCTCGCTGCTGCAGTTCGGAATCGGGAGAATGGCTGTACAGGCGGAAGATTTGCAAGAGCTGAGGTTTGATTTCGGGGAACAGATTCACAAACTTGACAAACGACGAGAGGATCATGGCCCGCGCGTTGTCGGAACTGGAGAACATCTTGGCCTGTAGGGCTAGGAATTGCTCAATGGGGCTCGAGCCTGCGTTTTCGGCGATTAGATGGCCGTACTCGCCCAAGACATAGCAACCGATTTTAACCAAGCTTTCGTGGCAATCAGACTTCATGTAGCCCAGCAGGGTGTGTGATGCGTAAGCTTGTAGTTCTTCGTTGTTGGTCACGATCTGGATCACTCGTTGCCATACTTCGTCGTTGACATGTTCGCCTGCCAGTGAAAGCAGTTTCAATGTCATGTCAATGTACCACTGTGCATCGGCAGCGTACTTCTCGGTAAGAATGGCGACCTTGAGCACCATTTCCTCTCGAATGGCATAATCGGCAGTCTGCAGGTATCGCAGAAGCTCGTTAACAATGGGGCCGGCATTACTGGTATCGCACATGCTGTATAACAGGTCCAATCCTTTACGACGAACACTAATGTCGCGGTCTCGAAGCGAGCCCAGGATGATGTTCTGGTGCTTTTTAATCGGGTCAAGGGTCTCGGCTCGAGCAGCAAAATGGGTCAGCGCATCCAAGCCAAGGTATCGAACGTTGGTCTCCCGAGACTGAATATATTTGCCTAGACGGGTGGAGATTTGCATCATGAGATTGTGCTCAGAGTCGAGGTGGATAAGGAGGTTGATGGCTTCAAAGAGAATGGCGTTTTGGGCATTGTTCTGCTGCACATTCTTGGGAGTTTCCATTGCAGCTTGCATCATCTGGGAGAGGGATTCTCGAATAATTTCGCGAACATGGCTGTCCTCTGTAGTTATGTGTGAGAAACTGAGTTATAAGCTGCCACGGCACTACACATACCTGATGGGGGATAGTATTGCAACAGGCGCAAGAACTTGACCTGAATCCATGGACATGGTACGCGGTAGTATAGGTAGTCCGGGGCGATATCATTGTCAACCACAATGCGCTTCAATCGCTGCGCAGCCTTGACATAACAGCCTTTGTATTCCTCGGGCAAGTCCTGAGCTAGCGCCATGACCAAAGAGGTGACGGAAAGCGTTACTCCCATGTCAGGGTCATCCATGATCGATATGATTCTTTCGGCCCATTCGTTTCGCACGATGCCGGGGTATTTGCGGTACAACCGAAGCAGTGTTAAAGCAGCCTTCTTTTTGACGAAAGCTTTGGAGGTACTTGGAAAATGTCAGAACAATCATCAACAAAACAAGAAACGTCCCAAACTCACGGCGAGATGAGCAGCCTGTGAACCTCCGATCCGAGTGCTTCTCCAAGCTCTTTACCACCGACGTTGGCCACGGCGTGTAGGGCCAAGCAGTTATTCAATTCATTATGATCGAGCAGATCCTTCCGAATACTGTTGACAACCAAATGAAGCAACTCATGCTCCTCATGCAAAAACAACGTGACAGCCAAGTATCCGATCTGCTTCTCAGAATACTTGGGCGAAGAGATCAAGTTAACAGCCTCAAGATGGCCGAAGTCCACATCATAACCCTGAATGTAGACATAGAGCAATTTGCAAACGTATTTCTTCTTCTGGTAACCATTAAGATTGCCAGACTTAAACTTCTGCCGAATATTGGCCAGTTCCTTATTCACGCGCTTCTCCTCGAGTTCTCTAGCGCGGGCATTCCGCAAATCAGCAATGAACTGCACAAGCCCCCGCATGGACGACATAGTGACGGTAATAGCGTAGTGTGTTTATCGGCCCACCGACGTGGAAAAAAAAAGTTGACGACTATGGTATGGCGGGGGTTTCGGTCGAGGTGCGCCCTCGCATGCCACGCGGGATTATCACCTCAGGGGGGTTTGCGATCGGACGCACAACGTCACACAACCATGTCCTGGTTATGCTGGTGTGTGGATTATGGGGCATTGGCCATGCAGCGTGTCGGGTGATGGATTTCCGGCCCCGTGGAAGCTCGTTGGAAAACAAGGGGTTGGGTGTGGTGTGAGGGAGTTGGATTCTGGGGGAGCTTGTCAGCAGTGGTTGGTTGGTGTGGGCCGGAGGTATCCGATCGAACCGCGGCAACATACAGAATAGCGTCTAATTTAAAGATCCTAGGATAAATAGGCCGAGCAACACGCGAAGTCGAGATGAATCCATCCCCGTAACTTGTCCGCTCCGTATTTCATTTGGGTCACTTCCGCTGTCGATCAGCCCGGGTTCCGCTGCGGCGGTGTGTGGCGGCGGAGGAATACTGATCCGGTGTGGCAGTGCAAGGGAGTCAGTAAAGTTGTAGTTTTATTCATGAGTCTAGACAGAACTATATCTCAACAGACTGATTATATGTGAAAATACATAGCCAAAAACACTCGGGAAAAAGGCTGGTGTATAATTAATTCAACCTATTTCCCTCAGTCCGCATCTTCTCTTCAAAACAAGCTTTGAGGCTCGACACGTTGTACCCAAGTCTATTTTAAGAAGTATGTATATTCCCATTTCAAAACCACCCCAGTCCATTTCGATAGCTTTTAGCACACAGAACAAGCAGCCTACATTCTATTGTCAATTTTTACTTCGCATTTGGGTATTTATATATGTCGTAGTGAAAATTGGATAGTATTAATTTCTCATTTCATATCTCATTCAGTAGTTATTGATAACCCCAAGCAACCTCAACCAGTAAACATGCCCATGCCCAAGACGCCAGCTCCCCATCAAGGTGGGGATGAAAAATGCAATTATCGAAGCAAAATATAAGTGAATCAAGTCACTTAAGCACGGCCAGTGAAGTCAACCTCGAGGGCGGAATCAACAGCAGCGGCCTTCTCACAAGTGCAAGAAGCTAAAGTCAAAGTCAGCAGGGAATTCAAAACCACAAATCACATTAGAAGGAAATTAAATCTTACCCTGAGGACGGCTGCCACAGGCACAGGTCTCACCAGCAATAGTCTGGTTCTCGGTGACGGCGCGCTCACAAGTGCATTGGCCAGCTGGACGAGAGCCTATTTCAAAAATGTTAGTATAAAGTTTCATCCGAATTATCAGAATAGTGGAATCACGTACGGCATGAGCAGCGGGGACCCGAAACGGTGTTCTCAGAAGAAGCTTTGCTGCAGCTGCAGTTCAGGGCGCTCTGCTGGCCGCAGGAGCACTTGGCCTGGGCGGCACAGACGCAGGAGCCGTCTGTGGTGGTCTTGCAGCAGGTGGTAGTGGGGTGGACCATTTTGGCGGGTTGATTTGATATGACGTCGGTTTTTGAAGATTGAGAGTGATGTTGACCAAGGTGAAGAAATTTTTGAGTTTGCAAAATTGAAGGACGGAAGATATAGAAATGAAATTGTTTGGGAATCAAGATGAGAGTGTCTGACAGAAAGAAAATAATACGCTGCTTCTACGAGTTGTTTTATACTCTTTCTGCATGCGTCAGAGGTGAGTGGTGATTATCAATTGAAGGGCTCTGATTGG